AATAAAATGTTATTCACAATCAAGATTAGTGCCATCTTCGTTGCGTCTCCTGGTCGTTGGAAGTTGCCATCGCAGAACATTTGAAGCAACCACTGCTCCTTAACGCTCTCCTGCCCGTTTCAGTATCTCACATGGATTCTGTCCACACCAAATTCGTATGGTTGGCTGAACACATCGAGCATTCTTTCAAACTTCAATCCGGTGATAAGGCAAAACTCCTGCTTTGATATATGTGCCTTGCACTTCCCAATGGCAAACCATAGCTCATGCTCCATTGAATCTCTCACACTGATTAGACGAATCATGATGCTATGCAGGAGTCTAGCATAAAAGTAACCTTACAGATATACGTCCAGCAGCATTCCGAAGCACGTTCGCTTCACTGCATCATACTTCCCTTTCTCTTGGAGAGTCTTGCTGATGCAATACAGCTGCGACCACTTACAATGGGTGTTAATCGCGACATTGAATGCCTACTTTTCCCTTAGCACAATAAGGCTACTGTCAAGATCCTCATACTATCTGGACTGCATCTGCAAAACAACACAAAGGTGGTGACACGTCATGCACAACAAGTAAAAGGTAGTGACACGCCATGCATAACAAGTAAAAGGTTGTGATACACCATGCATAAGAAGTAAAATGTGGTGACACGCCATGCATAACAAGTAAAAGGTCGTGACATGCCATGCATAACAAGTAAAAGGTCGTGACACGCCATGCATAACAAGTAAAATGTGGTCACACGCCAATCATAACAAGTCAAATGTCGCGACAAGCTTTGCATAACAAGTCAAATATCGTGACACGATATGCAGTCGTGAAACTCCGTCAAAGCTTTGGTACGACCATAAGACCATAAAACCAGGAAGAAAACAGTTTAACTAAGGCAATAACATTTCAAAAATCACCTTAAACTACCCTAAACATAATTCCTCTTAAACTAACTAACATAACCATTCCAAAAGGAAATAACACGAATATATCAAACAAACCCAAGAAAAAAGTAAAGAACAGAAGAAGTTTTAATTTTAGGCTGACTGACCTCTTAATTGATAATTGACATTGTTGCTCTCGTCTTGTTAAGCTTGCAAAGAAGGAAGTCCAACTCTTTGGTACCTTTGGGAATGAAGAATGAATCAAACTCTCTGAGAACCCTTCACACAGATGTTGCGATTTCTGAAAAATAATTAATTTAAAATGAGATGGCCTTATAATATTCATTCAATGGAAGTCGAATCGGTTTTCTCATTTTTTTTGCCCGTTTTTTTTTCTTTCTCTTTCAAACATGTCGTGTCACCCAGTGACAACCATGCCATCTGACACACACATGGCGTGTCACAGATTCTCTCAGTGCGTGTCACAACTTGAACGTGTCGTGTCACAAAGCTTTCGCTGCCGTGTCACCAACTCTGAACACTGGCGTGTCACAGATTCCTCCTATGGCGTGTCACAAACCTGAACCTGTCATGTCACAATTCCCTCCATGGCGTGTCACAAACTCTGAATATTGTCGTGTCACAGATTCCATCCATGCTATGTCAAACTCTGAACTCTAACGTGTCATAGATTCCCTCCATGCCGTGTCACTAACTTTAAACATTAGCGTGTCACAGATTCCCTCCATGCCGTGTCACCAACTCTGAACACTAGTGTGTCACAGATTCTCTTCATGACGTGTCACAAACTTGAACCCTGTAGTGTCACAGATTCCCTCCATGGCGTGTCACAAACTCTAAATACTGTCATGTCACAGATTCCATCCATGCCATGTCAAACTCTGAACTCTGATGTGTCACAGATTCCCTCCATGTGATGTCACAAACTATGAACTCTAGAGTGTCACAGATTCTCTCCATGACGTGTCACAAACTCTGAACTCTGGAGTGTCACAGATTCCCTCCATGGCGTGTCACCAAACTCTGAACCTTGCCGTGTCATAGCCTTGTCACACATTCCCGTCATGTCGTTTCATGCCACATTCTCT